TTGAACTGAGGCATGTAAGAGCTGTAGAGCATTGTGAGGAGAGGCTGTGTTTTCCTGTAATGAAAATCCTGCTGTCTCTGATGGACAGTGTGCTGCACTGTCACACCTAGCTCATTGGAGATGCTCCAAGCGATGTCTGTCCTGCAGGATCTGCAGGGATGGGACCAGGAGCCGGAGCCTGTCGGTGCCAAGGGCTGCACAGAGAGCTCAGCAGCCGTGTTACAGCAGGGCTGGGAGCCCTGGGCTGCCAGGCTCATCCCTCTTCTCATATCCTTGCTGTGCAGACTCAATGGGAAAAGTTTGGATTGCAGCTGTGGCTCTGGAAAATGCCAGAACTTCCTTAATTTGCCTCTGCCCTGGCAGATGTTCCTGCAGCTGTCTAACCTGATCTGACTGTCCTGCTGCCACCCTTGCCCTGTGTCTCACACCCAGTAATTTTGTTGGCTTGGACTGACAAGGAACTGCAGCTTTTGGAAAAAACTTATAATTTCCTTCTATTTTTTAAAGCTTACATATCAATGAGCACCAAGAACCATTGTCAGAAACCAACTTTTCAAAACAGCGATGGCACTTTGAGCTTCAAATTATGTATATAAACAAAAAGTTACTTCTGATGTCTTCCTCAACTCCTTTTGTATCTTCAGTTCCAAAGCTGATGAAATTGACTTTTGTTTACAGTGATTTTTTTTTTTAATTTCTGAATTAATTTGCTGTTTTTTAAAGCCTCAGCCTTTGTCAGGTATTTGTCAGGGGTGTCTGGTATGATTCCCCTGCCTCTGGCACATGTTCTCTTGTGCTCTGTTTGAGAGCAGCGTTGAGGCATCTCCCAGCAGGCCATTAAAGAATCTGTACCCTCTGCTGTTAATGATTTACCAGCCTGGGTGACCCTCAGGCTTTATTTAGCATGAGGGATTGTCAGACTTATTTCTGGGGTATTGCTCATTTGTGGATGGTCATTCTCCTGGGGGAAAAAGTGGAGAACTTGGGCAAAGCTGGCAGCTTCCCTCTGGGAGGTGGTGCCATCCTGCCCTAGGACAGCCCTGGCTCAGGGGTGCCAGCAGCTCTCCATCTGCATTTTGGCAGCCCATGTTTCCCTCCATGTTCAGGCTCTAGGTTAAGCCTTAATTTAAAAAATTGAAGAATGCATATTCAAGGAGTTTGTGAAGCAAGCAGCTGCAAGGCAAACAAGATTTTTTCCATATGGTGTCATATAGACCAAATGGAAATGTACAACAATAGTAACAAAACTATTGGTATTGCTCAATTCAAGTGTTTTTGAGAAAGCAGATGGATTCCAACAGTCATTTCAGGGTTTTTCTGAAAGCATGGTGAACGCTCCTTGAAGTGTGAAAAATATTATGTTCAAGCAAACATTAGTAATAAAATTAGTAAAAATATAATTCACAAAATGTCAGGTGTACTTCATCATGAGTAAAGATCTTGAAAGCCCTAAATGAGTGTGTAGTCCTGGTTTCTGCACATCAGCTTTTATGACTTGGGTACCTTTTCCCAATTTCCTAGGTGCCTTTTTAGATTTAATTGCGAAACTGAATATGTTAACAGATGGTTAAATTGTCTAATGGGAACATTATTCATTCTCTGAGCTGAAGAACAGAGGTTGTAGGAGTGAATTCTATTTTGTGACTAAGACCTAAATTCAAGATGCAGACGACTTTTTGTATTTCAGCAATTATCCAGTTTGGGCTTTGTCCCTCTAAACTGCCTTGGTTCAGGTGCTCCTATGGGGAGTTATTCCTCTCCTGGTTGTGTTTGAAAAGCTCTCCTTGAGTGGAGCTTTACCACGGCTTCTGCAGGCATTGAGGTAAATGTTAGAAAATGGCAATACCAGCTCAGTTTAAAACAAAAGACAAAACCTGCAAGTTAAGAGAAGGTCGAGTTCCTGATTGTTACCCCTAGAACGGGAGCTGCTCCTTGAGCTTGCAGCCTGTGGGCAGAAATTGGGTGTTCCAGCACACCAGGATCTGCCTGGGCAGTGGAGTGAAAATCAGTTTAGAAGTGGCTGAGCTGGGCACTGTTCATCCTGAGGGTGTGATCTGGGAGTTACTGCTGCTTTGGTTTTTGTGGTGACAGGGAGATTCCTGAGCATAACAGTAAAGGACATGGCAAAGTAATACTTAAATATAATCAATCCACGTAAATGCACCTCAGTTTGCAGCTCATGGCCAGCTTAAGGGATTTGGAAGGCTTTATAATAACACAAGTTAGAAAAATGTATAAAAAAGTAGACTTGCTGTGAGTTTTATATTAAAAGTTGATGCAATCACCTCAAGTAATTTAGTTCTGTGAATATGATATTGCTGCTGCTGTAGCCTGCATTGTTTGCATGAGGAAGCAATGCTTTCTGCATCAAGAAATGTAGTGATCTGTGAATATCTTTCTGCTGTTTTCATGTGCAAGATTTCAATTACTCTGAATATTAACTTGGCTGAGACCTTTTGAGATAAAAGAATTGTCTGGTGCAGTTGCATTAGAATATGCTATTATTTTTGTGTGCTTTACTGTCATGATCTGTCTGTACTTATGAGAGATACACAGAGTAAATTAAAACTGGGAAGAGTGAATAGGAAATTATATTAACCATTGATAGCCTGGAAAGGCTGTGCTGTGAGGAAGACACTCTATCACGTAAGAACTAAGTCAACCAGCAGGAAATAATTCTTTGGTATAGATGCTGAAGAGATTTTGTGGTTTATGTTGATACTATAGTTCAGGGAGAGAGATGATCTATAGCTGTCTTAAATTGTATATGTATTTATACATGGAAATGTTAATTTGTTATCCCTTATCTGCAAATGTTTCCTTGGAGATTTTTGTGAAGCCTTTTCTCTTGGGCTGCTCCTGCAAACAGGAACTCAGTGTATTTATGAAGTCAGGAAGGTGTAGATTTTTCTGTCTTGTGTTGCTCTGGTTGTCTCATAGATGGCAGAAAGAATAATGCCAGAGGACTACAAAATCAGCAATATCTTAAATTTCCTTCTAGGGAGGTAAACTGCTTTTGGGTTATGTTCTGAAATCAGCCTGGAAGTGCAATTTCTTTGTTAGTACAAGAGATTGTCAAAATTGTGTGAGGATCTGCAGGTACAGAACAGCCTTGGCTTTGCCTCCAGCTACTTGCAGTGTCTCTCCTACCTGTTAAATGTGCTGCTTATCTCGAGTGGCTGCTGGCAGCAGTGGAGTTTGTGCACCACAAGGATATCTGGGAAGAGTGCTTGAGGGGTCTGAAAAAATGCAGCATGCTATCTTGTTTTAGTATTCTGTGTTTTGCCCAGAGGAGTTTGAGTGACAAAAGCAATATAACTGTAGAGATGGGGTAGATGATCCTGTTCCAGCTTCTGGCAGAGATTGACAGTACTTAAATGAAGGGAAAAGAAAATTCTCATACAAATAGCTCCTAAAATGCATATGGAGTTCCAGGACTTCTTGCTTGCCTGGCTGTCTCTGGGTTAAAAACAGGGTTAGGCTTTACTTCATTTTTGTCTGTAATCTCAATTAAAAGATTTATTTAGCACAGTGGTAAGTGAACATCTCAGTATGGCATTTATCATCTTGAAACCAGAACTAAGTCCAGCAGAGGAGAGCACAGCGGAGGGGTAAGGAAGGGTGTTGAGATGTTATCTGGTAGATGAGAGGTTGGTGTCAACATCTGGATGTGCAGATGTCTGTACTGGCTTAGGCTCAGGTGGGGTTTGTGCAGAGCAGCTCATCCAGTGCTGTGTCCTGGATTTGTGACCAAAACAGCCTTGGCAGAGAGAGAACCCCTGTGCTTCAGCTTCTGCTGACCAGCCCTTCCCAGTCCCCAGGGGTTCTGCTGCTTGTGAGCTCCCACCAGGAGCGGGCTGGGTGGTCTGGAGGTGGGGACAGCCAGGACAGCTCATCCCCAGCGACCAAAGATCCCAAAATGTCACATCATGCTGGGCAGTAAAGGCAGGGCTGCAGGGTGGGAAGGAGGAGTTCTTTCCAAATCATCAGGTGCTCAGAAGCTGGGTAGGCATTGGCCTGCTGGTACCAAGTGATGGCTTTATTTGTTTCTCTTTTTCCCCATCAGTTATTACATGGTCTTTATAGCTCAACCATCAAGTTTTTCTTGCTTCTGTACTTCTGATTGGCTGCATGGTCCTGCTGGGAGGGAGCAAGTGGCTGTGCAGGGACTGACCCATGAGTCAGGGTCAGTCCTCTCCACTGTCCCATGGACTTGTGAATGCTTCTCAAATTCTGTCCCCCCAGGAGTTCTAGCCCTTAACTCCTCCTATTCATGACTGCTTTTTGTCAATTGAGCAAAGTTCACAAACCAAATGCTTCCTTGGTAATGATTGTTGATACTGGTGTGCAGTGTGGGTGGTTTTTTTGGCCACGAATAAAAATGTAACATTGGTGATCGTTGTCAGGAGGGTTTTCCTGCTTAGGAAGAAGTGACGGGGCAAAAGGGAGGGAGAGTGGTTTGTGCCTCATCAGTGCATGGACTTGTGCCAGTTCATCTGCAGACTGCCGTGACTCAGTGTCCAGGAGCACTTGGCACAAGGCTGCACAAGTCTGGGCACAGGGAAGAGCCTGGGCAGGGCTCAGCTCTGAGCTCAGAGCCCCGTGGCTCTGCTGACGCACTCGGGAGTCCAGGAGTCCGTGTTTGTTTTGGAAACCCTGCAGAGAGATCTGGCTGCTCCTTGGTGCAGGGCTGGGGGTGCTGGAGCACTGCAGGCTCCAGCTTCATGGATTGCATCCTCAGAGGATAAGGTGCAATGGGATGCAATCCTGAATTTTCACAGGAAAGGCAGCAGGTTCCATTTGCCTGCAGGTTTTTTAAAGCACTCAGTGCCATTTCAAATGTTTTTTTAATATTCAAATACATGAAATAGATTTCTTTATTCTTAAGCAGTAGGTAACACTGTCTTTTTTTCTTTGATTTGTGTGTGTTGTTTTTTGTTTGTTTTTTTAATAGAATATTCAAATAAAAACTTTGGCAGATGATGTGGTAAGGTCTTTGTAGCATCTTAATTTGCAATGGTAACTCCACGCTGCATGCTACTTTACTCAATGTTGTGGACAAAATAACATTCTTATAAGGATATTAAGCATTAGATTTCAGAAAATTGAGTGACTATTTCTAAAGATCTTAATTTGTAACTTCAGTTGAAGCAGATTAATCATGATTTCTATTTGGAGAAACTTCCTTGGGCACATTTCAAATACTTTAGTAATCCTGTGGCTGTGTTGAAACTGTTACTCAATAGTTGAAGTATTATTTCTCTTGACCTTCTCCTTGCCAGTAAATGATCTGCAGTGGTTCTTCAAAGTTGGTTGCCACATGATTCAAGTGGAACCATTTTGGGTAATGAATGTGTACCCAGTGCCAAAAAGCAAGTTTGTATTCAGTAGCACTAACTTGGTAAAGCTGAATACTTTCCAATTGGTTCCAAAGTATTTTTTAAGAAACTTCTATCAAAATTGATTTCATTAAAATTACAGCCTTGTATCATATGTATGTGTATATAAATATATATGAAATAAAGCCAGAGTGGTTCTGTGGTTAATGATTGTGTGCACATCTGAAATAAGGAGATGGTGCCTGGTAATCATATAGGAGATTCCTTTGTGTCTTTCAAGTGATCTCACCAGTGCAATCTCATTGAACAAATTTGTTGTTAGTAAGTTATACTTGAAACAGATGACAGTGTGGTGAAATTGGATTTTAAATGACTTTTTATGACTGTTGAATGGTCAACATAAAACTGCATTTGGCTAAATTTGGGTACTGGCCTTTTTCACCAGGCTATGCCCTAATTTTAGTTTCCAAAAATGTAATGTAAACTATTTTAATAATGTAGAAAATGGATTAAAGTAATATTCTTGCTTTGTCAAAGACATGAGCAGTATCCTTGTAGGTATTGTGCTTCTGTCCACAAATATAAAAATGTCTAAGAAAGAAGAAAACTCCCCTGCCACCCTTCCCTCAAAAAAAATACAACAACTCAAAAGAACTTGACAGGGAATGCAGCTTATCTAGGGACACTTTCCTTCAGAAATTTAAGGTAATTATGTGGGATCTCAAAAATAACAAAACCAATGAAGAACAGCAATTAAAAATAAACAAAACAACAGAAAAATAATCTTTCCTGTCCATACTCCACATCTCATGCTCTAGTGTCTCCACTTTGGACTTGCCAATCTAAATGAATCAAAATTTTTGCAAACAAAATACTCCAGAAAAATCAGACATTTCACACCTTGGAGAGCTCCTGTAATTGTAGCCAATATAAATTTTGGTTGATGTGTTTTGGTGGAGATAAGTTCTCTGAATGATCCTGGGAACCCTACATAAGCTGCTGTTAGATGAAAGCACATCTTCATAAGGCTGTTGAGTGCCTGAAACAAATACAGGAGTATTTGTGGATGCAAACAGTTCTTTGAGGAAAATTGCTGTATGCATGGTGTTCTCAAAAGGAACATGAATATGTATAGATAAATATAGTTGTTAAATAAAAAATAAAAAAAAATAATAAAATAATAAAAAAATAAAAAAAAAATTTGGACTGTACTCAGAATAGTTTTATGCTATAAATACAATAAGAATGGCCTTATAAGGAAGGTGCTGGTTCTTTCCAATATTAACCCTGAGTGAGCATGCTTGCAGCCCAGGAGTTGGGATTGGGGTCAGCCCTAACCACAGGCTCTGGTGCTTGTGTTTAACCCGGGCTGGCTGCCGTGTGAGCAATCCACCACCTGCCTTTCTAAAGCTCGGCACTAATTCCAGGAGTTCCTGCTCTAAAACTCTTCAAGGAGTTCTGAACTATGCTTGGAGCGTTAATTCCTCTACAAACTTTATTTTACTTCAGCAGGATTTTTTATAAGCCTGATGAACTTGTGAGTACCTCCTTCCCAACGCTGCCTTTTTCAGCTTCCTCCAAAAACTTCAGGTGAAGGAGCATTGCACATTCAGTACCTTAATGGTACCATATTTATTTATTATCAGGATAATTGGAGAGTAATGGGAGAAGATTTTGAAATGCAAAGAGTTTAACCTAGCTGGTGCAATTTTGGATCAGTGAGAAATATTTAAACCCCTTTTGCATGTGACCTGTCCCAAGTTTACCTTACATGTTACTGTCCTCTGTGCAAAGTAATCTCTGAATATTAGAGTATTTTTACTTACAGTTCAGTTTAACTCTGCTGCTTGAATTAACTAAAACCACGTGCATTGCTGCCATGTAATTGGCTGCTTTATTTCTATTTCTGCTCATTTTTGAATGTTTTTGCAGCGTGACAGAATCACAAGCTTCAGAAAATCAGCAGTGAAGAGAGAGAAGCTTCTCATCCAGCATCCTATTGACTCCCAGCCTTCCATCAGCGAGATCCCACATGCCCAGGCACTTGTTGATGAGCGCTGCATGAACTTATCAGAGAAAGAAGTCATGGATCTCTTTGAAAAAATGATGGTAAGATGTGTGTTTGGGGAAGAACTGTCCTGTTCCACTGGGTGGCTCTGCTCTGTTCAGTGGAGCTGTGAGTGTCTTTTGAAGGATTGGATAAGTGTTAATGAACTCTTGCTTGATTTCCTTGTTAAGGGATTAGTTTGTACCTTTTCCAAGCAATGGTAGTTGAAGCAGACAATAGATCTGTCTCAGAGACCAGCAGCTCTGTGCCAGGGCTGTTCCCCAGCAGAGATTGCAGGAACATTGACTGCTCCTAGGTGCCAGTCTGAAGTTACTTTGACTTTTAATGGCAAGCCTAGTCATGACTAGTAATGACTGCACTGTATTTAATCAGTTATAAAGTTAAAAGAAATGTCTTAATAGATTTAATCTAGCAGAGCATTTTGACTTCTAGGCTTGTTTTAAATACATCAGTTGGAACAGTTTCACCTGTACCCCTTCCACAAGATAATAATCCATGTAATAGCAGCTTTCTGATTAGACAGTGCAGGAGTGGTGTCCACCCTGGTAAGATTTCACTAAAAGCACAGGAACATCACAAGAGTTAACACTTAGCATCAACCTGAGGTGTAGAATTGTTGTGCTTGTCCTCTAGTTTTACTTCTTGAGCCACATTTCACAAATGTTAACTACCCTTGATGCAATTTAAATTTTGACTGAATTACTAAGCCAGTGAAGACTTGGAGGTGACATAATCAAATAAGAAAACCAGGTAGGGCAAAATCAAGCAGACACAGCTAAACTGGCAAAAAACCACTTCTGTTTGTTTGAAAATTGTTTAACAAAAGCAGCTTAAAAAGAACAATTACTAATAAAAATCCTGAGCTGTGTTCCTGACGTGGTGTGGTCTGTTTGTGTGCAGGAAGACATGAACCTGAACGAGGAACGGAAAGCTCCGTTACGAGACAAGGACTTGAGCACGAAACGGGAGATGGTCGTCCAGTACATTTCTGCAACTGCCAAATCCGTAAGTACTCACCTGTCCTGGGCACACCTGAGGATGGAGCTGAGCTTTGAGTCTTAGGCTTTTCAAGCTTGAAAATTGAAATTTTTTTTATCTGGATATATGTAAGAGTAGTAGGAGAAAATAAATGTGTACTTACTAACACACCTTCTAAATGCTTGCAGCTGAATCTGGACAGTTAGTTTGTATTTCCCTTGCTGGGCAATATAAAAATGTGATCCTTTCTTGAAACTTTAAGAAATTGCAGATCCAGTGATGTAGAGTCATGGATGGAACCTGAGCATATTTCTGTGCAATTCATCTGAAGTACCAGTACCCAAAGTTTCTGACTTTGTGGTTTCAGTAGCGAGGTACTAGACTCCTTTAGTGAAAAGGTGGTCTTAAAACCAGTTTCAAATTACATTTTGAATAGAAAAAATATTTTGACTTTTCATTGATGTTGATTATTCTCTAATTTAATTGACTGATTAACCCCTCATGCAGAAGTTCTGAATTCTGACTCCTTTGGAGTGCAAGAAGTGTAAGGAAATGATTTGGTACCCCAACATTTTTGGGGTGGGTAAATACAATTTCACATAGTGAAGAGATGCAGTTTATTTTCTGCAGCAGAACTGTTGGTACTAATTAGTTATAAAATACATCAGCAATGCTTTGTGTGTGTTAGAAGTTGACTATGGCAAATATAGGAATAAGTGAAGATTATGGTCATGTCTGCTCAGGAATCTTTAAGCGTGGACTGCAAGAAGTACAGACTTGTCCCTTGTTAACCTTGAAAATCAACTCTGCAGAGTTAAATTTCAAACATTAAGATGACAATGAAGTGCAATTATTATGCAAATGCCTTACATGAAACATTATGAACTTCAGTGAGGAAAAGCTTGTGTTTAAATGGTGATGAAATGGTAATGAAAATGGTGATTTAAGTTCTGAGAGGAGTGATGTTCCTGCATCAGTTAATCTTAAACAAAATCCACAGTCCTTTAGTGTGTGCTGGAAGGAATCCAGTGCTTTAAACATGGTCTAACTAAATGTACAAATTACTGGAGAATTATTCAAGCTTATGCAGTGAATGTTATGAACTATGAGCTAGAGTGTCTTTGGGAACTGTTAATTACGCTTTGTAAGGTTTTTATCTTCACTAGATGATCAATATTAAATCTGGAATTTTTCTTAGTATGCAAAAATACTTTGAAGCAGTAGAAAGTGGAAGTAGAAGTGGAAATATTTGCATTTTTTCCCACAAAGTAGTTGAACAGTGGTGATGGCTCTCACGTACACTGCAGTTGAAATGTGGCTGCCTCGATGCCAGAGTTGTGCAGCTGAGTAAGGAAAGCATGGCTCCCATTGCATGGCTCACTGCTGAAGTTTTAATGCATTGCATTCTCCCTGTGTGTGCTGCAGCGTGGGAAACCTAACAGAACTGGGAATGTATTTGTCCAAATGCACTAACAATTTAAAACCAAGTCATCCTAAAAGGTCCTCGTACGTGGATGTGCACTTTGGGCTTAAGTCAGCAGCAGTGTGGATGTTTTCACATGTGGCAAAGTGTTTTTCCTAGAGGAAAAACAGCTCATATTGAAGTTTGTGTGCTTCAGTACATCCTCCTTGCAATTGAATCACAGCATTTGAATGGAGTCTCTCAAAAATCTACATTACCTTTCTGTAGCATGTTATTCTAATTTAACTTTAAATAGCTAGCATCTTGATTATTAAAAAAAAATCCTAAAATACTTTAAATGTTGATTGGGATCTTACAGGGGCACAAAAACCTCATTTTCACTTGTAATTTCATCTTCTGTTTAGTGCAACTACTATTCTGCTCAATGAATTCAAGCCCTAGTTAATCTTTACTGCATCATGAATTGTCAAACTTTCCTTTCTTCAGGATTGTCTTCCATGAAAATGCTGGTTGCATTCAAAGTGATCTGCCTTTATATTTTCTACCTTTTTCTTTTGTCACAGATAGTTATCTGTCTTCCTTTTTTACACTGAAAATACTTGGACCTTCTGCTTAAAGCTCACGAAACACATTTAACAGTTGATGTGACTTCTTGCAGTTCATTTCATGTTTGGTTTAATTTAGGCTTTTGAGCTCCCTCCCTTCATGTGAAAATCACTCTCATTTGCTGATGTTGTCTTAACCAAATTATTTTAAATTTGGTGCTTTATTTTCTCTGCCTGTGTGCTGTCTGCAGCATGTTGACCATGCTTTTCTGAAACACTTGTCTTCAGCGTTCTGAGACAGGAACTTTGGATTTCACTGGGTGAAGAAAGTTTTCCTTGGGGGTGAAGGACATGATGTAGAAGCTGATACGAGCTGGATGCTTTCATGGGAAGTGATTTTCTGTGCTTCTCATTCCTTCTCTCACTCGAAGAGAAAGATTGTTGACCATGGAAATTATACCTGAGAACTGAAGGATTGAAATTCTGTTTCAGAGCTGAACCTGGTGACATTTTGTGCTGTACTGAGTAGTCAAACATGGGTGAGAGGAGGAGATTGTTTGCTGATGGCAATCCCTTCTTGTGTTTCTAGAGGAAACATCTTGAGGAAGAGAAGTGTTGGTCGTGAAAGACTTGCAGGGACTTTTGTTTCTGAAAGAGTTTTTAAAGGAACAAGGGAAGAGAGAGAGCAGGAACTGAAGCAGGTAGAGGCTGAGCAGATTGAGTGACATTCAGATGTCAGCAGCAGAGCAGCCAGAAGAGGTTGTGCAGTGAAGGGGCTGCAGGTGAGCAGGGGAGGAGAGGCTGGAGCAGATGTCCATTGTCCCGGTGTTCCCAGGAGCGTGGCTGTTTGTGCAGGGTGACAGAACAGGGCACAGATGTGCTGCCTTCCTGCAGCTTCTCTGGGGAAAGGCAACTTTTTGTTCATGAATAGAGGGAGATGCTGGTCCATGGTAAAGAGAAGATGGCATTCTGAAAATCACTGTTTAATTATCCGTGTAATTAAAAGCATCCATACCGAGCAGCTGAATAAAAATGTCATGTGAGATTTTCTGAAATGCAAGTTGGGGTTATAACTGTAGGCTATGTTTTTGATTACAGAAACTTAATTAAGTTCAGTGGTGACATCATCTAAAAAGATCAAAAGCTGCAAAATAAAAGCAGTTGTTATACCTACAAGGAAGTCAGTTTGCCACTAGTGTGTTCTAAGTGTCACGTATCAAGTATCTGACCCAATAATTTTAACAAATGGCATATTTAATCTTTCAAGATGTAGCTGGCAAGACAGGTATTTAGTTATTTTTTGGTAAATATGTCAAAGCTGATGATTCAGCAGCAGAACATAAGAATTAGGAATTGTTGCTCCTGCAGTAGAGCTGCTGTTTTCCTGTTGAGAAGCTCTACCCCCAAAACAGGTTGATAAAGTAATAAAAGAATGTAACTACTACTAACGATTAAACACTGCAAAATGTGTGTGCAACTACATCCTACTACTACTGTGCTGTGTTTATTTATGTATTATTATTATCTTTTTCACACAATAACCTCTCTTGGCTGACCACTGCATGCAGATAGTCGGAAGTAAAGTTCCGGTGAGTACGAACATGAGAGTTTTGTTTTCTCTTCTGAACTTGCCTTTTTAGAGATTAGGCTGGAATATTTTGGACTTTTATCTGGGTTTTTAAAATTCAGTGGGAACAACTGAATGCTTGTTTTATCAAAATAATTGTCAACCTACTCAATCATGTTAATCTTTCCAGTATGAGATCATTGCTTACACTTTGGAGGGATTTCTTCAAGGTTTCAGGAGTCTGAAGCTTCAGACTTCAATGCAGTTCAAATGCTCCAAACTCACTGAGCTCATCTCTTCATTGTGAGCAACAAATGTAATTCAAGCTTGTCTTGATTTCTATTGAAGGCAGACACTTGAGATTTTAAATTGACAATATTTGGCTTACTTCATTCTGTTTAGATGTGGAATTTATGTCCTAATTGTTATTATTCATAGCTTGTCTTGGAAATGCCAAAGCAGATCAATATGAGAATAAGATTAATTTAGAGGATTCAGGAGGTCAATAAGTTGAAGATGAGATCACTGAGAGCATAACTTTTCTCTTACTAAGGCCTCATATACATTTTATGTTGTCTTGATCGAATTCAAATATTATAAACAAATATTTGGGATTTAATTTGTTGGAGTGAGTTCAGCAAGTTTTTGTTTCCTAGAAAAAGTTTTTTTTTGGGGAATAATTACATATTGATTTAAAATAATGGTTGAAAGCAAAGATGTCCTTTTAAATTATGGATGGACTTTATTTTTGATTACAGCCAAAAGAGGCTTTTCAGGTAGATCAAGGCTTTCTACTTAGGTCATATTCAGTAATTAAATGCTGTAGTAAAAATGATAGAGAACAATCTCTGAAAAGAAACTCTGTAATCAACACCTCAGATGTAGTTAGGTTTTTATCCTACATACTGTATTCTTACGGATTTTTCTCTTGGCTTTGTTTTATTCAGAGTGGACTTGAAAGAGATTTTTATGTTCACCAGTACTTTTTAGTTTTGTACACAGTGTTGGTTCTTCCCTGATTGAGAACACCTTCATTGTGCTTATGTATTTAAAGGAGGACAAATTATTAATTTTCCAGTTCAGTGTGATAAAACCAGTTTCAGATAATCCCTGCTGCTGTGCAATTTCCTTATGGTGAGAATCAGCCTGAACAGCTGCTTTGTGAAGAGGTTACTTTATTAAGGAAGCTGATGTTCCCAATATGGCTAGGAAGGAAATTCTAGCATGTTTTCTTCCCTTTGAGTTCAGGGTGTGATAGAGAGCAAGAACAGCTCTGCATTAAAAGCATGTTTTTGTGCAAATAACTTTCTAAATACTAAAACAAGAAATGCTGTGCCTGGAGTATGGCTTTGCATAGAATTGCTTACAGAGTGCTTGCACCTCCGTGTGCTTCCTCCAGGATTCATCCTTTGGGAGCTGTTTGCTTCTGCCAGCACATGGAGCTATCTCCTTGAAGATTTACAGATTCACTGTGATCAGGGAGGAGAGGAATTTTGGGATGCTCCTGGCAGTGCTGTTGTATTGTGGAGATTGCAGAGGTTTCCCTGTTCATGGGAACCTGGGAGATTGATCTTGTTTGAATTTTACATGGGATCCTCAGCACTGGTGGGGCTGCCGTGTGCTGCAGGCTCTCATTTGAGCTGGCATCAATGAATCATTCTCTGCTTTAATTGTCACATTCTGAAGGTGACCAGTCAGCAACTAATTTTGAAGATTTTTATTCCTAAGCATTTATTTAATCTCTGAACATTCTGATGTGGGACCCAACCCTCCTCAATTTCTATCTACTTCACTTTTGCTTTCATCTTTTTTAGATGTTCTGTAAAACATTTTTTACTAAGACCTTACATCTCAAAATAAATGAGAAATGTTTGTATTAAAATCTGATCTGTATCAGGCACAGCAATACTTAAAAGTAGTATTCCAATCAAACTCTTTGAATCGGGAAATAAGAAGCTCCTGGTTTGGCATTCGAGGTCAGAGCAGATTGAGACCAAAGCATTGATTGCAGGGAATTACAGAAAGTAATCCTGGTAAGCTGAAAATTCTCTGAAAGATTTCAAGAATGGATTTTTGAGCTGTCTTGAGTAACCATCCATTTTGAAGAGGGAGGAGAATAAGGAAGAGGAGTTGTTTTTTTATTGCTGTGCAGTTCAAGGTGCTTTTTCAAAGAGTCAGTGAGGAAATGTGCCTGTCCTGCAAGCCATGGGAAGGAGCCTTAGCAGAGCACACTGCCAGTTCTTTCAACTACTGAGTGATTTTTGAGGGAGTCAGGGGCCTCCTGAAAATAAGGGACTGGGCAGAGCAGAGGTGCTGCTCTAATGGCCTGGATGGCACAGAAAGAGGAGACAGCAGGGTCCCACCTCAGATTAAATAGGAAACAAAGAGCAGCCAAGACTTCAGCTTGCCCCAGGCTGAACTGGAGTCTCCTGTGGATCTTGCAGCAATCTGCAGTGAAGGGACAAACTCATCTCTTGGGAAAATACACTGTCTTGCATTCTAGAGGGCTTCTCAGGGTCTAGCTTAACTGGTAATGGCATTGATTGAAGTTGCCATTGTCTTATCTCTGTCCATTTTGTGGCTCTCAGCAGCATTTCTGTCCTCCTTTACCATTTGGGGAATGGCTGAAATAACAAAATTTGTGCCCAGTTAAATCTATATTGTGGGGTGGGATAAAGCTGTTCCTTTTTCCTAGTTCTTTATCTTATGGTCCTTCAGAGTGATGATTTTTCTGTATTTTGATGCTTTTTGATGTATTAACTTGATTTACAGTCAGCTCCTACTCTTATAAAGATATTCCCCACTTATTTTTTCCTTTTTCCTTTGGTGGAAGAACATCTCTTTGTTTAGGATGTCGATGGTGACTTATTCTAGTCCTTCTATATCCTTCTTACTCATCTTTGCCTCGGTCCTTTGATGTATGCCTGGTGTGTGATGCCCAGCTGAAGGTGCTTTGCATGTCAGCAAGGAACATCCTCCAAGCTGAGCCAGTGCAGACTCTCTTGTCTCACTGCAGTCACAGTCTGTCCTGGTGCTGTTCTGGAAGTGTATTGTGAATTCACTTCTGGTTTGTGCCTTGAATCTGGCTAGGTCAAAATCATTAACTTGGATTTAGCCAAGTCATTTTGTCATCAGCCATACTCAGTGTGGTTTTGGTAAAAAAATGGTAAGAATTTGAAAAGAACAAAGCAAAAGGTTTTTAAGGAGTGGAGCTTTGTGCAAGAGAGACAATTTGAATATTTGTAGTGGAAGTGATACAATTAAAACCAAGTGCATATAAATCCTCTTCTAGGACAGGCACTTGATATTGCCTTTACACCCCTGACATCTTTATCAGGTTCTCTTCAGCAGACCCTTGAGAGCTAAGGAGCTTTAGGAGCTGCAAATGAATCAAAACCACTCTTCTGAGATAAGCCTACTGCAGCTTGTCAGAGCTGTACAAAAGATTAGTTGCACCTTTTGGAAAAATGTTTTGTCTTGTTCATGACTTCGAATACTCTAGCTCTAAAAACTGATACTCAGCTGTTTTAATAGTGAAATACTGTGTAATTAGTTATTCTTCTGTAGTGGCACTTCAGCAGGACAGTTTTGCCAAATCTCCTGTATGGTTTTCTTGCAGCAAACAAGATCCTGCAGGTATCTCTGTTAGGGGCCAAACACCCACTATGGTACAGCAAACAGCTGGCTCATGAAGTTGCATGAACTGGATTTTTCTGTGTCTCTCTTTGATTGTTTCAATACTGTCTTGTGAAGTAGCTGCTTAATACACTCTCATGAAATATGTTAATACAGCTGAATGATGGAATTAAATTTTTATATTCAGTTTGTACTGCATGCACTTTTACTCAAAGTAGTGAAAAAGATTCCAGTGAGAGTAGTTAACCTTGTGATGTAAAACCAAAAGTATTAAACACTGATGACAAATCTAAGTCAGATGTCTTGAATACTTGCACTGTGATTTGAAAATTCAGATGGAAATAATAGCTTTGTGTTTTATCATCTAAACACTGATCACTAGAACACTCAGCAGCATTCTGTCTTCTGTGATAGGGTGGACTAAAAAACAGCAAGCACGAATGTACCCTGTCCTCACAAGAATATATCCATGAACTGAGATCTGGAATTTCAGATGAAAAACTTCTTAATTGCCTGGAGTCTTTGAGAGTGTCTCTAACCAGCAATCCAGTCAGGTAAGCAGAGCAATTTCTGCAGTAGCTTTTATCATGCTGTTTTTGCTAAGCAGGAGAGTTGTGGGCTTTGGGGTTTTTTTTTGAAACCAGAGTAATTATATTAATGCTTGTTGACAGGAGAGCAGTGCTCTCAGCACCCTGGATAAGGATAAGTGAAATGTTTGCAGCAGTCTGCAGCATCTCCTCACCTTTCACTGTGGCTTTCAGCAATTTGCACTGGCTGCAACTGTTTGCCTTCGTGGCTGATCAGATCTTTTGGGAAGTGAGACCAAAAGTGGAGCCTATAAAGGGCAGCACAAGCAGTAACAGGGAAATAGCCTTGCAGGTTTTGCATTTGATTAAGGAGTAATTAAAAGCATTTTTCTTTGGTTTTTTTTTTTCCAGCTGGGTTAATAATTTTGGACATGAAGGTCTTGGACTTCTGTTGGATGCATTGGAAAAGCTTCTGGACAAGAAACAGTAAGAACCTGGATTGTTTGAAGGGAGGGATGGGGAAGGTTGTGAAGATTTTCCTTATGTGATTTTTCTTCTTCCTTTCAAGGCAAGAAAGTATTGATAAGAAGAATCAACATAAACTTATCCAGTGCCTCAAAGCATTTATGAACAATAAAGTAAGTATTACTTTAAATTCACATACTTCTGGCATGATTGGGTTTTGTTGAGTTCAAGATGTACATGGCATGGTAAATGTTGGAGGGGGAGGGAAAGCTTCTATATCCAGTGTTTAACTCTTTGGAAATGCAGGTCTTAAACTGCAGTGTAACTTTTCTTGAGTCTTCTTCATGAGCCTTTCTACATCTTTGCTGAGTTTTGTTAAACACAGGGTGAAAAAACCACAATTTTTCTTAATTTTGTTAAACACTACTTACTTTGGAAGTAAAATATTTGATAAAGAGAGGATGATAGTATAAATTTAAGTGAATTTGAAAATGAGTTCCTTGGAAATTGAAAAATAAAATAATTCCAAGTTCAGATTTCAATGCATGATTGTTAGTATAATGTACTTTTCATCTGATTTGACTAGGATTTGGTATCTTTTCAGCTGCAGTTTTTAAGTTGGTAGGTCATGGGTAAAGGATTAGGTAGGTTTAGTTGTATTAAAGGTAGGTTTAGTTGTATCTGATTTGTTTCTAACAGAGTTACTCAAGTTTACACAGTATGAAGTATCTGCTAGAAGCTGATGTGTTAAACTTGTAGTTTTGCTTTATTTGTAGCAAAATCTGAAGTCTTGTATTTATGTATCCTCCCCAGCAAACAAAATTGCATAAAAGTTACTTATGATTACTTCTACTCAGTTTAGAAAGACCTCACAGAGGAGCTTGACTAATGAACTGGGAGAAAAGCAGATTTTTCATACTTCTGAGGTGTTTCAGATATAGATAGGAAATAAAACCTGCTTTATCTTTTGGTGCCTACTAATTTTACAAGGTCCTGGTGTCCTGAGGAGCTGAATGTCTGTGTCAGGAGAAAGCCTCAAATGCAGGAAGGCTGGGCACACTGCCCTGTGTCCCCAAGCAATGATAGCCTGGGGTTCTGGTGGAGGGAGTGCTGCCAGATCCCCTCTGGGAGGGAGGAGTTGGGAGAATCCCTCAGGATCTTAAGTTGATGAGTAGCCAAGGCAAGCCCAACCTTTTTACCATGTACATTCATCATTTTGTTTCTCCCAGTACGGTTTGCAAAGGATTTTAGGAGATGAAAGAAGTCTCCTGCTGTTGTCAAGAGCAATTGATCCAAAGCAACCACACATGATGACTGAGACAGTGAAAATACTTTCTGCCATCTGCATTATTGGAGAGGAAAACATGTAAGTGAGATATTGAAGTTGTTTTTTGTGCTCATGACGTGTCAATTTGGACACAGGTGAGAAAAGTTGACAGTGAAACAAATGTAACCTATTAAGTCTTTAATATTGTGGTTTAAAATTCAAGAGACTTCTTCACCTGTTGTGTTGTTTTAATTCAGTATCAAATCAGAGAAAAGCAAATGAGCAGAGACTTACCTATTGTGGCTGAAGTGGAAGGTCTGAGAGGACGGATCAACTCCCCACCACAGGAACAGGAAATTTTACTTTTACAGCTGGGCTTTGGAGCAGTTCAACTCTGAGTTACTTAGCACTTGCCCATGAGATTTTTAAAATCAAGATAATCACTTGGCATATGTTTCCTGTAAATTCCCCACTGTGCTTACATACTGAAGGTTAAAATGGGCAAACTTCATGTCTTCTATGCAACAGAGTAATACATTTTGATTTCTGAAAGGACAAATTATTAGAATTTCCAGATGTTAAACATGTGAGCTGTTATCAAGTGCACAATCTTGCAAAGGTTGTGATTTTTTCCCCCTCATTGGTTGTTTCTTAGCTGAAATAATAATATAGAGATTTATTCACCCTTTTTTCTTATTTCAACATTAATCTTGTAGACAATTTTAACACTTGGTTCTTGGATTGTTTTCAACTTTCTGTAGCTAAATGCATTTAAACTGTCAGTGCACTAAAGCCCTGAGCTGAGTCAGTAGCGGGCTGAGGATGTTTAAAATGAGCAAGTAGGTGCTGCTCTGTGCTCCTGTGACAGTTTGTCTTTCTCTTAGTCTGGACAAGCTTTTAGGTGCTATAACAACTGCTGCTGAGAGGCACAGCAGGGAGGAGCGTTTCTCCCAGATTGTGGAAGGCCTGGAGAACCACGAGTTCATCCAGCTGCAGGTGAGTTTGCCTTTCTGGGTGCTTCAGCTGAAAGGCTGGAGCATCATGTGTTGCTTGGTGATCTTCCATTTACACAGAGCATCTTTCAGTGCCTTTGATCCAGTGGTCAGTAAAAGAGGAGAAATAAATTCCAGTGCCCTGCTGGTACTAGATTTTCTACTTGTTAGAAAATGGTTATTTTCTACTTCCTGTCCCAAAAAAAGGATTAAGAGATCTTGACCTTGGGTAATAAACCTGTTCCTAGTGCTGGTACTTAGGGCAGCAGTACCTGTGGCCTCTGAAATATTCAGATAAATGCTAATTATGGCAGGTGTAGCATGGAATGAGTCCATTTTTGGCAGGGTTCCTTTTGGGATGAGTGAAGTGCAGCAGGATATTGTTGGTATTTTTTTCAGCAAGGACTCTGCATTCCTTGCTCTGTGTGTTCAACACATGCCTTTATCAGCCACTAGTGCTTCTCTGAGGGCCATTTAGTGAGCTTTCAAAATAATTTTTATAAATTAATAAAATAATCTGTGCTAGTTTTTACTAAGTCATGACTTAGATCGTGTTCAATGCTGCTAATGTGTCTGTGCACAGAGGTTTTTATGCTCTGTGGGCACCAGAATTTTGGTTTGTATGAAGATGGAAGCTTTTATAATTGGGGTTGGTTGGGTTTTTTTGGTACTGCCAAAGAGGCCAAGTGGCTGAATATCCTAATGGAGGAAAACTTGGATTTCTTACCTCCTCACAATGCAGTAGTTATGCACATTTTGTGCTAAAATTTATTTTTCAGCTACTTTGGCTGAAAGATATGGAAAAACAGGCAGGGCAGGTAACCTTGGGATGCCTTTTTGCAGTCTTGGCTCAAACACACATCAGCTGTAGTTGCCTTAATGCTGTGTTTACCATCAGCACCTCTTGTTTCAGAGCTGATGAGTTAATGATGTCCAATAAGTTTCTATAAATGACATTCTAATCTTAATAGTGCCATCACTGAAGAATTCATTCAGGAGTTGTCTCCTGCTCCATGACCTTGTTGATTTAAGGCAAACAACAGCCACCAGCCACCATTCCTGCCAAGCTCCCCCTCCCCAGGCTCACTGCTACCTCAGTGAAGGCACAATTGCAAGACTCATTACCTTGTTTCTGACAAAATCATTCTTTGCTGGTAATGTATTAGCACAAGCCATTAAGGCAGAGTCTCTCTGGCAGAAGCAATCAGAGCAGATGGCACCTCTTCTCTCTATTAATTTCAGATTGGACATGTGCTTTGGCTTGTTAAGTCATGTCATAGTAGTAAAATAACAAGAATCATTCAAGCAGGCATGATGATACTGCATTATCTGAAGATGCAGCTCTATCAAGAGAGTGCCTTTGAAAGGGTGTTTTAATAGAAATTTGATACTCCATAAGGTGTTCTATTAAAGCTAAATAGTGAATGTAATTAAAACAGGAAGGTGCTTTTTATCTGATTTTTTTTTCCTCTGCAGCTATTGATTTTTTTTTTTGTCCTGCTCTAAAGCTACTTCTATTTGCAGTTAACATCTTTTACCAAACTTGGTATTTCCCTCGAGTCCCATTTTAGTATTTTAATGTGGATCAGCACTTTTGGTGGTGTGCTGTTGTCTACCTGTTTTCAAATAAATCAATTAAAGTGCACAGCTGTTCAATTAAAGCATTAGCCACTATCCTGAGACTTCAGGTGTTTAGCAGAAGTGCTCTGCAGGAATGGAAAAAACACCTGGTGATGTGGCTAATTTGGGTATGGGTGGTTCTGATGTGGGGTGTTTTAAGTTTTGGGTTATTGTAAAAGCAGTTTGTTTTCAAACTGTTGAATGTTGAGGAGAAAGAGAAGGAGGTACAATGGAAAACTTTAGTTTGGGAATAACTAATGTATGATTTTAGGGTGGGGGGCCCTGGCACAGGTGCCCAGAGCTGCTGTGGCTGTCCCTGGATCTCTGGCAGTGCCCAGGGCCAGGCTGGACACTGGGGTTTGGAGCTCCTGGGACAGGGGAAGGTGTCCCTGCCATGGCAGGGGTGGCACTGGATGGATTTTAAGCTCCTTTCTGACCCAACCCATTCCATGATCCTGCTCTGATCATTCATGTGATACTATTTTGACACAGCAGAAGCATCCTGATATGGAAACAGGGCAGTATTTGATGTTGCTAAAATCAACCAGAGTGTTTCATGTGTGCTGCATAATAAATAAAATCCATCTCTTTGGCTTTAGAATTCAACTGAAACAGTGACTGGAAGGATTGATTTTCATTCTGTGTTTCTGATTACAGGTAGCATGTATGCAGCTCATCAACGCCCTTGTTACATCCCCTGAGGATCTTGATTTCAGGATACACTTGAGAAATGAGTTTTTACGTTGTGGCCTGAAGAAAATATTGCCTGTAAGTCATTTGTAGCCAGGAGTTGATCACTGTCCTCTGTGAATGTTGGAGATAACCAAACTGTTTAGCCAGAACAGCAGATGTGAAGGATTGGGGGTGCAGAAGGTCAGATTACCAATCCAAATTGCTTTCAGCCTGCAGTTACAAATTCAGGTTCTCATGAGCTGTATAAACCAGAATAGTAGTTGAAACAAGTCAATACATCAGAAATTAAATGAGGGTAGCTAAATTCTGCATAAAGAGCTCAAAGCACATGCAGTGAATGTGAATCCGGCTGTGGAACCAATGTTGGATTAACTTTCTTTGTGTATGCTGTTGCTCTTGTTTTCTGTGAAATCTGTTTTTCTTTAATCTGCCTGCTGAGAATGCATTGGGACATTTTAAGGAAAAATCAAATCAGAAATTCATTTGGAGACTGTGTCTGTCTCCATGCAGCTGCACAGACAGGAATATTTCTGACTTTAGGAGAGATATGTAGCTCTTTACCAAGAAACCATTCTGATACATCAAAAATAGGTATATTTAAGGTACTTGTCACTTTCTTGCAGAAGATGAGAGCAATTAGAGTACCTGCTGATATTTGTTTGAAACAAAACTTATTCTGCTATGACTTTTAAGATGTGAAGTTTTAAACTGTCGATTTGTTAGGAACAAAAACTTCTGTTTTTGGCTCACTCAGCCTTGAGACACTTCCTGCTGTGTGATGTTATGTTTCTTAGGTATACTTTTAGGATTTATATCATGTAGATACATTAATATGATCTACTGTCTTTATTTGCTGGGAAATATCTGAAAACTTCAAGAACACAAGTATTTTTGGTTTGTTTTCTTTAATCTATTGAGAGGTAATTAATAGAATCAATAAATGCTCAAAAATTTTAAGAATTGGGGGTGGGTTAGGTAGCAAAAAACCTGAATTGTAACAAATCATGATATGATAGAAAACTTGGGAGAGTGTACCAACATCTGCCATACAGATCTGAGTGTAAAAGCAATTAATGTTTGGTGATAACAGGCTATTTAAAGATTGTTGAGCAGCTGATGTGTTGAAAAAGAGTCCAGGAGACAGATCCAGAGCTCTGGCTCTTCATCTGTTCAGATTCAGAGCTGCCTCCTCCACTTTTCAAGCGCTGGAATTGGCAGAAGTTCCTGCTGTGTTGGGGAACACACGCGGCTGCACCGGGCGTGACAAATCCAGACCCATTTCCATTTCAATCCTGGAGTGCATTCCCATGAATGGGTGGGAAGGAACTTTTTTTTCATGTCCTTTGGCTGGTGAGAAGCTGAACTTGGTTCATGTGGGAAAAAGGACAAGTCCTTGTAGCTCTGAAAAGCACATTTTCCTCTGCTCCAGATGTGAACTGGAGTGGGGTTTTTTTCCTCCCGTACCTCTCCTTTGTACTATGGATGTTTTAATGCCATGGTCTGGGTTAACTGAGCTACAGAAATTGTGAGCAAGTCTTCTTTAGACTTAATTAATGTTTTGAAATATACCTGTTGTGGTTTTTTTAAAGGAACTCTGACATTAACAGCAGGAGCTGCTATGTCCCATTAAGAGAAATTGTTTCAACTGGAAGTTTTCTGATTTGTTCTGTAGCCCATGCCTGCTCTGTGAGCTGGTGTTTTGCCTTGAGTTTTTCTCAGTTGAATCTTTTTCCTTTTGAAAACTTTCTCCTGTTCTAAAGGTTCATGTCTTATATTTCATCATGATACAGTCCTTCAAGGGGGGGAATTCTTGCTTTAAAAAAGGGAAAATTAAGATATATTCTACCTTGAAAAACAGGCCTTGAAAGATAAGGAAAATGACGAGCTTGATATTCAGCTGAGGGTGTTTGATGAGAACAAAGATGAAGACCACTTTGAACTGTCACATCGTCTCAACGATATCAAAGCTGAAATGGAATATCCTTTAAGGAAATGCTGTTATAACTTGTGTCATCTCAGAACTTTGTTAAATGGAAATTACAGTGCTCCATGTGCAGGTTATTTGTCTCAGCTGTGTGTCTTACCAGGGGCTTTGTCAAGCAGATTTCTCTCAAGTTGCTTTTTTTGTTAGAAAATATTTTGATAATTAGTGCTTAAATTTGCATGTCAAATGTAAGTCATTGGGAACTGAATTAATTTTTCATAAATAACATTTATTAAGCTAAACTCTGTCTCATAATACATGAAGAGATAAAATTATACCCATGGAAGATCATAAGTTTGAAGAAAAATGAGTTCTGATAATAAAAGGAATGAAATTTCTCTTAGGTTCTGAAGCTCTTGAGATGTGCCTTTTCTGGCTGTGAAGGAGCAGGAAATTCAGAGTTACCTGAATTCAGGAAAGGTGCTGCAGGTTTTAGGAGGAGGCAGAGGGAGGTGGAGGCAATCAGTGGGAGGACTATAAAATCCCATTATGCTGTTGCTTTGCAGAACAGGTAATTACAGGTGAAGGTCATCTTTAGGAAATGAAAATGATTGACCAGGGTGTGTTTGCCAGTAGCCTGGCTGAGCTCAGGGCAGAAGCAAAGCTTTGTGTGCAATATTGTTACAGGATTTTAAATGTCAAGTCTATGGTATGATTGTTCTGATTGGTAATGAAACACATCCTAATTATTAAACAGGGTGTAGAAATTCTGTGCATAATCTTAGTGGAAAAATCATATTTATTGCTAAGGATGGGAGTTGAAAGCATGGAGGGGTTTTATTTGAACAATAAGGAAATGTCTGGGGAGCTGTGTTTGGCTGGGGTGGCTGTTCTGTGCTGCAGTGGGGTTTTTTGGTGTTTGGTTTTTAAGTTGTTGGTTTTGTAAGCATTTGTATTTTCTTAACCATGTTTGCACTGATGTGAGCGAAGTATTTCATCTGCTGTATAATATGGTGAAAGATACTTCTTCTGAAAATTACTTTTTGTCAATTCTGCAACATTTCCTCCTGATCAGGAACGATTACTATGTCCGGTGAGTGCCAGCTGCCAGGCTGGGATTTTGAGGGCTAGAGTAGAAATTAAGACCCTGGTGAACTGATTTGCTCCAGCCTAAAAAGTCACTCTGAGACTGTTGTGTTATCTTTTTGCTCCATGTTAGTATTAAAAAGATCTTGGTAAATGTAATAGTGTTTATTTCAAAGGCTTGAATCTTAGTCTTACACCCTCATCCCAAAAACCTCTTAACTCAGCCACATCTTTATTCAAGTTTGATACCTTCTTTGCTTCAAAGAACATGAAAGTTGTACAACTGATAATTGAAAATCCTCCCACGTGCCTTGGATCTGGTCTTTTCAGTGTAAACGTCTCTTATGTGCAGCACAGTGTCTTAGCAAGGTCAAGGTGCCACATCAAAATATTTACAAATAAGCATTTGAATTTGATACTTCTTCTGGCAGTTGTAGAATTCAGCTATTAGGAGTTAATTCCCCCCTTCCCCAACCCCATCAAGGCTTGTTCATGTTCTCATTGTCTTGTAAATGTTTCCTGTTTTAGACCTCAGTATTACAAGATCATAGAAGAGTGTGTGTCACAGATAGTGCTGCACTGCAGTGGCATGGACCCAGATTTCAAATACAGAGGAAGGATGGACATTAATTTTACACATCTTATTGGTTTGTACTCCTTAAGCAGTTCTACCTTGTTCTTGTTTGTGTTCTTCTGTCTAGACTTTTTTTTGTCTAGGTGTTTTTGCCTTTAGTTTTTCTCAGTTGAATCTTTCTCCTTTTGGAAACTTTCTCCTGTTCTAAAGGTTAATGTCTTATATTTCATCATGATACAGTCCTTCAAGGGGGGAATTCTTGCTTTAAAAAAGGGCTCACAGGGTAATTATGGTTGGAAGCACCTCAGAGCTGGGATGTTTGACTTGTGTGTGGTATTTTATTTAAATTCTAGATGCATGTGTGGACAAAGCTAAAGTAGAAGAGAGTGAAAAGAAAGCAGCAGAATTTTCCAGAAAGGTAAGTGCTGCTCTTGGTATGAAACAGAATCCTGACAGGAGCGCAGCTCATTTCCAGCTAAAACTGGGAAACAGTGGCTCTCACAGGGAGGATGTGCTTTCAGATTTGATGTTCTGTGTGGGAAAGGCTCAGATGTAGTTGAGTCTGAAATCAAAAGCAGCTGAGTAGCATTGCCTGTGCATCTCTTGAGCTCTGTTCCTCTACTGTAGAAAACTGATGGGAAAAATTCCACTTGTTGCTCTTCTGTGCTGGAATAGTCATAATGAAATAATTTAAGTGCAGGTACAAGCCTTAAAAAAATGAATGAATGTGCTATATTAGCTGCAGTAGTACTGAAGCTTGTGTGATATGGAGGTGTGTATTGAAATCATTCAAAATTCTGATTTTTTTGCTGGTCTGGCCTAAGAAAGCATTTTCAGGCCAAATGCTAGAACATGTTCTTGAACATGATGATTGCAGATTTCATTTTTAATGAATTTAAGCTTGCTGCAATAGATGTGTACTTGAGCTTGGTTTGAGAAGTCTGCAGTGTTCTCTTGGAGAGAAAAGCCTGTACTGAGTAGCTGGATCTGGGTGGTTCTCTGCCATTGACTTATTGACAGAAGAAATTGTGGCACTCAAAGTGAACGTGTTAGAAAAATGCTGCTCAAAGAGTTAAAAGTGCATCAATTGCTCCAGCTCTGATTTTCAAAGAATTCCTGCCAATAGAGGCTCTGGTGTGGCCATAACTGGACAAACTCTCCTGTCCTGCTTGAATCATTACAGTTTGATGAAGAGTTCACAGCTCGACAAGAGGCACAAGCAGAGCTGCAGAAAAGAGAAGAGAAAATCAAAGAACTCGAATCAGAAGTCAAACAGCTCCGGACCCAGGTAATAAAACCCTATCCCATTAACTTCCACAGCTGAGTTGGTTGTTTTTGAGGAGGAGGAGTTGAAAAGCAATTGCCCTGGAGTAACTTGTCTCTCTGGAGTTTGGAATGTGTGTTGGAGGTGCATTGATTTGTTTTGCAGCCAGCATAAGTTACTAAGGATAGTTAATGGAGGTAACGTCTTTCAAATAGTAATATATTCAACCTGTCACAGGTGCCTGCTTTATTGACAAAGTGTTCCTTGGGCTATAAAAATCTTGCAACCAGACTGATTTTTTTTTTTTTTCCCTGCAGGTATTTGTTTATGCTTTCGCATTGTTGCTTCTGTATGTTTTGCAGAAGGTTTTTATTTTGGAAGTGTTTATTTTAAGGCTTCTGATTTTATATGTATTTTTTACTCTTAGACTTTATATATTTATATGTACACTTTTTTATTTTTTACACCAGCTTTGGGTTTTAGACAGGTCATTTATACCTTTTAGGAGCTAACAGATATCATGATTAAGTGCTTTTGCCTCAGTCTGGCTTATTTTGTACTCCTTCAACACTAGGCAAGGTCTGCCTGTTGCCTTTTTCTGTCTTTATTTTGATGTATTAATGCCTGTGATATCACTTCCTAATTGGACACTAAGGTGGAGACACAGACACTCCTGTTGTTACTTCCTTCTTGCCAATTTTCATGTTTGTTACAAATTCCTACATTCCAGTGTTAAGTGAAATTTGACAGTCTGTTTTAATGAGTTCTCCAGCAATTGTTGCATTATAACCTGTGGGCCAAAGAAACACATGCCTTGTGCAAGTAAAAAATGTACTTTTAGTCAAATTAATTGTTAATCCTGTTTTATTGATTCTACCACAGTTCAGATTATCCAGACATGACAGGGCATTGATAGTAATGCTGGCCACTGGTTAATTAACCATGTAATTCTAATATCTGTTCCCTTTCCTAGTGTTATGCTCCCCACAGAATATGGTGACACTTATTTCTAGCTGCACTCTGCTGATTTGATTTGCTGCTGTTTCTCTTCCTTATTAATTAGTAAGAACTTACTAGAATGGACATTGTGATTGCTCTTTCTTCCCCTCACCAAAGAAGCATCCTCAGATGTCCAAGACAGCAGGATGGGTTGTTGCACACCCTTCACCCCTCTAGATGTCAGAATAGTTATGAACAACTGTGCTCCTGTGACCTCTTGCACTGCAATAGCTGCTCCACTGATTGCTGGGGAAAATTTTCCGGCAGCAGATGAGTGTTGTTAAAATTGAGCGTGGTTATTCCCATCTCTGATGCCCCAGCTTGCCAGGGTATCCAAAGTGGGATAAATGTTTTGTGCATTGGTAAGAAATAAAATGCTGTTCTGTTCACTTAAATGTTACTGCTACTATTAAATTTTCTTTAAAATTGAAACAATTTGTTTTTATAACAATGCTAGGTTATTCAGTTTACTTGGCAGCTTTATGGTACGTGGTATAATCTATTGTTATTGTTTCTCATTTAAATAGGAGAACGGTTGCATTTCTCGCTTTCTTGAGGTTGAACCAACCATCCCGTTGGTTCAGATTTGTATTGAGCTGCCTCCTGTCACTGATGAAGAGAATTCCTCTTTTGTGTTTCAGGGTCCAGGCCTGACAGAAGTCCCAGCAATACCTCCAGCCCTCCCAAGTGAGAACGCCCTGCCATCTCCAGCGCCTTCACTCCCTGGTGGAGCCATCCCTCCTCCACCTCCCCTCCCTGGTGGAGGAGCCATCCCTCCTCCACCTCCCCTCCCCGGTGGAACAGCAATTCCTCCTCCTCCTCCCCTGCCAGGTGGACCCACAATTCCTCCTCCTCCTCCCCTGCCAGGTGGAGCAGTGATTCCTCCCCCACCTCCATTACCTGGTGCATCGCTTCCTCCACCGCCGCCTCCTCTGCCCGGGGGAGCCATCCCACCTCCCCCTCCCCTGCCCGGTGTGCCCCCAGCACCTCCTCTGCCTGGGGGAGCAGGGCCTCCTCCTCCTCCTCCTCTGCCTGGGGGAGCAGGGCCTCCTCCTCCTCCTCCTCTGCCTGGGGGAGCAGGGCCTCCTCCTCCTCCTCCCCTGCCCGGGGGAGCAGTCCCTCCACCGCCGCCTTTTGGGGGGCCCCCGATGCCCCCCCCTCTCGGAGGGGTCCCCTTTGCTCCCTTCCCCATGGTGCCAGCCTTGCCACACGGGATGAAGGAGAAGAAGAAGTATAAGCTGGAAGTGTCTATGAAGAGAATCAACTGGTCCAAGGTAGGACAGGAGGTGTGGGGATGATGTTCCTTCCCCTCCTTCACTTCACTGTGCCCTTGGTACCGTGTGGTGATGGATTTTAAATGAGATTCATCCTGGCAGAACTTGGTGTCCCAGGAACCAAATTCCAATAGATTGTATCAGGTGCAGTGAACATGAAGTGCAGCTTTGCATCAAGTTGTATGTAAATATGTATTTATCTCCAAACTGTTCTAAAGCAGTTTTCACACATACCTAACAAAACAAACCAACTTAAGCTTTGTCAATTTGTGATGTTTAATGTAGCTATGAGTTCAGAGATTGCTGATATCTGGCCTTAATATTACTTGATGATTCATCCCAGATATTTATTGGTTGTTCTCAATTAGTGATGTGCTGGAGCAGGGCTGTGGCCACTGGGAGGAGCCATGGGACTGCTCAAGGGAAAGGTTTGGGCACCATGAGCTTCCAGAGTCTTAACATGGTTGTATTTAATCACATTTCATCTTAAAAACCATCTTAAAATATAAACACTACTTGAGCAGTAAAGTGCAAGCACAATCTGGTTTGCAAGCTAACCCTTAAAGCTGTTCCCAAGTACTTGTCTCTGAAAATATCCAGTTCTCTAACAGAAGTTAATGCCAACATCCAGGTGTGTGCTGGGGTGTGTTGATTTAAAACCCCTTTTTGATCAGTGCTCTTTCCATATAAAGGAAATAAATGTGGGGTAATAGATAATTGCATTTGCTATCAAGACTAAATCATTGCATTCCAAAGTTGGTAACTTTTTAGTGGTATAAAATATGACAGATATGTTGATGTTTGTTATAGGAAAAAGTACCAAAATCATCAGGGCAAATGAAAGGAGAACTTTTATATATTCCATGCTGTGTTCCTCTAAATTCTGAGTAGTCAAAAGGCTCTTTCTTTGAGGTAACAAAACAGCAGAATAATCGCTCCAATTTTGGAAGAGGAATCCAGCAGGTTGAGAGAGAGCCTGCGTGGAAATGCATGGCATGCCAATTTATCGTTTCTTTTGGCAGAAGAATTAATGCTTCAATGATTTCAAATGATTTCAAAATATTTGGAGATGTGCTAAAGCAATCTGAAAGTGTATCTAGCGGTCGTAGTTTAAAAATAGGCTTTCCATATATTTAGTTGGAATGATATAAAACAGCCAGCCATGGTTTTAGAGTATTAATTTAAATAAATTTAAAAATCAGTTTGAAAATCTTTACTTTTTCTGTAGTTCTTATAAAATAATCTGCATTAAAGGATAAGTGATAACTTTTCTTTGTTGTGGGAGGAGGAATTAAGAATCTTGGGGAGAAGAGACTGGATCAGGATGCACTGCAGGAGTTTTGTAACTGTGGGACATAGACTGCTGTCCTGTAAACATAGAGAAAAGCAAGCTTTTATTGTATAATACATGCTGTAATTGCAGCCAATTTGGTTGTGATCAGTTCCATTGGGGAGTTTATAGGAATAATTTCTAAAGTGTCTCTGTGAATGCTGGCTGTGACAATGGGAAGGAACTGCAGATGGACGCTTTGCTTAAGTGCTCTGGGAACGGTGCCAGAGATCTCCTGCCTACTGAGAAAGTGGAAAGTCTGTTTGATCATCACTTTTAAGGAGCCATCATTTGAGGAATAAAATTCTTACTGTTTAATTTAGTCCCTTTTGCTGTAACTATCTTGCCCATTAGTGTTGGATTAAGGTAGTTTTTTAAAATGTCTTCCCTGGAGCTGCTGGTAAAGCAGGGCTGAAAGGTGGAGGAGCAGGGTGTTACAGGAAATAATGCAATATTATTGCTAAATACTGCATGGCATCTGAATTGGCCCTTGGAAATTACTTGGCATTTCAACAAACTTAGAAACAATAGTTAATAATGTGTTCAAAGCTGTTAGAGGAATATATTTTGAAAACAGAATAGCAGTTCTGAGTCATCCATGAAGAGTCAAGTCTTTCAGCTTCTAGATGGCAGAACATTTTCCTGTTCCAATCTGGCCAACAGGGAGCTCATCCCCATGGACAGTTCATTTCCTGGTGCTGAGGAGTTTGGGAACTCTCTGGAAATCTCTCTGGAATCAAGAGAGAGCTTAGGACGCTTTCAAAGGCAGCTGCTGGTGTTGGTTCTGTTTGGAAAAGAAGAAAGCAGGGAGAGCATCCCAGAACGGGGCTAAACTTCATTCAGCCCAATTCTCACAGAAATTCTGGAGCATTTGTTTGAACTTGGCTGTTGAGAACACTCCTTTTTGACTCTGGAGATGCTGTTTTTCTTTCAGATTGAGCCTCAAGAAATAGGAGAAAACAGCTTTTGGGTAAAAGCTGAAGAAGATAAATTTGAAGACCCGGAGCTGTTTGCAAAATTGGCACTTACCTTTGGAACCCAAATGAAAGGTACATTCTTACTTTACTCTTTATTGTGCTTTTATTAAGTTTAAAACTGCAATGGCAGTTTCCTTTATGCTTTGTGCAATACCATGGAATTCATATGATGGTTTTATAGCAGGAAGATGATTTAAAACATATGTTAAGCATAGCAGTCTATTACAAGAATTGTTCCTCCTTCACTTTCCACTTCACAGCATGAGGGGAGGAACCTTTTCCCAATAATACCTTTTAAGAGTACTGTATGTTGCAGGCAGATGTGAGTTTTCTTCTTATGAAATTATAATTAAATTTAAATTCTGATCCTAAAACCATGTTTATTTGCATTATTATTCCTAGCTGAGAATTTCTGGAATAAGAACAGCACTTCTTACTAATACAGTGTTAAAGAAGAATAACTCAGGAAGGGCTCCCAGAGGACTGTAATGAACTATTTCTTGAGTAGTTTCCTTGAATTATTTCTGAATGTGTTTTTTTTGCTGTGTTGTTTTGAAACATCTTCAAAGATTTGGTCATGGCTGTGTTTTTCATAAGATAGATTCCTATTCCTTACAGTAGTCAGTGAATTTAAACCATTAGATTTCTGTTTTTTCAGCACACCTTGCAACCACTTTCTGGTCTAAATGTTCAGCTATCCATGCAGTAATTCAAAAAAGTAATTCAAAAGCCTCCTTTGGAGTAATTTAACATTCTTTTCCATGCCTGAGTTGGATTGACTCTCGGTTCCTAGCACTGCAGGGAGGCTAAAATGATGTGGAGTTGGTCACTTGGTTTGGTGTGACAGGAAGATCTTCAAGGGAAAGAAGCAGCAGATGAGAGAATGGCACAAACCCCTTCTTAATGAAAAGGACAAGCTTCTGCCTTGAGCTGGATTCTTTCATCAGAAATCTGAAGAAATGTTTCACAATTCCTGAAAAGCTGCTTCATTAAAAATGCTGAAAAAAACCCCTTGAAATGTTGACACAGCTGACAGTTTCCAACGAGAAGAGGGTCTTGTTGACATGAGTTGCACAGTTGTAAAGCTAGGAACTACAGAAACTCCTCCAATAGCTTACTGTACTGTAGCCTTGCAGATATCTTGCCTTGTGTAGTTCTCAGTTAATAGCTAATGTAGCAAATAAGATCTTTTAAGATCTTTTGCCACAGCAAAAGATGCACATGAGAAATGCTGCTGCATGCTACTCAGGATATGAAAATCTCACTTGGCTGACTCCTGCAGAAAGATAGGAGTTCAAGTCTTGAGTTCAAGGGTTTATTTAACTTGAAAACCTACTAGAAGTCAAAAAGACTCTTGGAGCATTTAGCTGCAGCACAGACCCCAAGAACTGCGTGCCTTTTTTCCTGCAGCTGCCATCTGCAAGGGGAAACATGGAATGATGTTCACTGGTCTTCCTCCCCTTTAATAATACTTATTAATACCCAAATACTTATTTCAGGCACCATCTGGGATTAGATTTCCCTCTTGTTTTAGCCCCATTTCAAGGGGTTGTCTCTGAGTGCATTGTAGGAGAGTGATCAAAAGCCAAACAGAAATACGTGTGATGTTTTCTCAAGAGCACAGTCAGCGTGGAAAACAAACAAAGGGATGAGTGGAAGCAAACTGACAATTGCCAAGAGCAGTTGGGATGACTTAGTGTTTACTGTCTTGTGTTCTGTGGAATTTTGGAATGCCAGTGGGAATGGTAGCTAAAGTAAAAGAAATGGTAAACATTTATTAAAATTTTTTAATTCCCTGTAAATTGCTGCACTGAAATTTGATTAAACCTCTGAATTATATTCATGATTATTCAGTACAATGAAAAAAACACTTGAATTTTTCTCATTTAACATAGTTCTTAGGATACTCCAAAGATGACTTAATGTTGGTTATCACTAAGCTGTGAGTTGCCTTGCTGTGTGTTGTAGAGGAATGCAGCCAGAGCTGAAGGGAAGTGGTACTTTTGGGGGAGAAATGTTATTATGAAGTTGAACAATATTTTTTGCATGCTATATTATTAATCCAGTGTGGTTATACATCTCAGGAAACCTGGGCAACAGCTTCTTGATGGAGTTAGGGGTGTCTGTGATTTAATTCAGTACGATGTCCTAAAACCCTCAGCAACTGAAGTTAAGTTGAAACTATCAGTGTTCTTGTCAAGAACCAACTTAAATCTTTGAAATCATTTAATCAGGTCGTGTTATGTCAAGCACTCTTTCACCAAGCTTTGCTTTTGTCCCTTAACTGATGTGAGATTTTCTCTCTGACCACCAGTGGCAGGGAGAGCACCAGCAGCGCTGTCATGTCTTCAGTGCTCGGTGGAATATGACATCAAAAAGCTCCTACTGAATTTCTGGGATGTTGAATCCGTGTAGATTTGAATGCCAAAGTGTCTCTAAAGGCTGCAGTGCTGTGACTCTGCAGACAGGTTGTGACACATCCCATTCTCAGGACTGTGACAATACTCACTGCTGGGCCTGCTGCTATCAAAACCATTTCTCACTGTTTGATTGATGGTCTAATTGCAAAACACTGCAAAGCAAGTTAATGCCTTCTCCCTAAAGGATCATGTTAATTTCTGGCTCTTGTAATTTAGGTTGTGTATTTTGCCAGTCAAGAATGATAGTAGTGCTCTGAAGAAATTAATTATGTGTACAGTAGGTCTGTAAAGGTAGTAATTAGTACATAATAGTCTGTAACTACTGGGATTGTTCCAATACAGAATTCATTATCCATCCAACTTGCCTCAAGGGAAAACTTCTCCATCAGGGTTCTGTTGCTTTACAATTAGTCTTTTAAAATACAATTCAACAATCATTTTCATATGTTTTCAAAACTGAAGTAAGGTCTTAATAGCTGAGTTGTGTTTTTCACACTTTGGGAATTTGAATGGGAAGGGACAAGGGAGAAGACAAATTTCCATGTAAGCTGTAATTGAACAAAACATGAAAAAATGTTCAGGTTTTGATTTTTACATGTGTAATGTATAGAAATCATGTGTGTAATGTATATATAAGGTATATAAATAATATATAATAGACCAGTGCACCGTTAAACTTGAAGGAAAACTCTGCATTCATTTGCATTTGGGACTTGTAAATACAAAGAGCAGCAACTAGAACTTTGACAGAGTGGCTTTGAATTTGCTATGCTGAGAAGCCCAGATGTAATTCATCAGAGAACTTGAACATTTGCAAGCTTTCAGTGGATTCAGCTGTGGCCAGATTTCCTTGAAGACAGCTGTATTTGTAGGTGTGAGGCAGCAGGACCGAGTTGAAGGCAGAAATCTGGGGTGTTCAGCACGGCTAGCTCAGCGCCTACGCTGCTTTGCCAACAGAAAAAAGAACTAAAACCTCTGAACTCATCAGGAATTTGCTTCAGGATTGCAAACTGCAGGTGGCTCCCTTGGTCTGCTGATTATTCAGGCTGTGTTTGTTCAGTTCCCTTCCCTCCTCAGCCTCTCCTTTGTGGAAGGGTGGGAATCCAGCCCGGAGGAGAATGAGCTTTGCAGCTCAGGGTCACCCAGTGCTGGGTGGCAGAGGAGTTTCATTTCCTTGGGTTCCCAGGTCAGCGGTCTTCATTTGTTTCACACACAAGTGCAGCAGATTGGTTTGTTCTCATCTTTGGATGTGTTTGAAATTGTTGTTTTCCACCAACAGCATAAATTCTGCTACCATAAAGGAGTGAATTATTAGTTTACTATTTTTTGCTTTCCTTTTCTCCACTGGATTTATCCAGTAGGTAAACTCTCAAACTCAAGGGTGAAAAAAACTTTGCATGGTTTAAATAAACTGTTGCCTGAAGTTATTACCATCTAACATAGATTTATATATGTGTATCTTTGTATTTTGATATACTTTATATATTTTAATTCTTAAATGATCTTAGAGTTATTTTAGAGTCCAAGTCTTATTTTAGGAGTGTCAGGACCCAGTTCATTCATCATGGGACAAAAGGGCTGATATGAGTGTAGTGTTCAGAAGGGTCTAAAAGAAAGCAAAAATTTCAATTAAGTGGGTAAAGATTGTAAATATCAGTTCTTAATGTTTTATTTCAAATAGCATTTTAATGCACTCCCCTTTCAATTACTTTAATTTCCATGTCAAAGGTAGTTTGTGGTATGGAATCACAAAGAAAACATAATTTATTTGGAGAAAACATACTATGTAAAATACATGTCCTGTTGGTGTGACCTACGAACTGTAGTTGTTTTCATCATGTGACAGTGAATGAAGAACATCCCAAATTAAAAAATCTGTTTCTACTTTTTCAGAAGTCAGGCTCAATGTCAGCTGGGCTGTTGTCATTTATTATGTTCTTTTCCTGTAAAAATCTTATCTAAATACCACTTTCAGAATGCTCATGCTTAGGGTTGGACAGAGGCAGGAATTTCCCTGCAGGTCTCAGGCTCTGGCACACTTTGAGTGTCTCTTGGGTCTCTGCTTTTAAAAGCTTTGTGGTAGCTTCATTAGGGGGAAAAATCAAGAGGGATGGATCAGATAAATGCAATTTTCCTATCTCCAGTTTGTAATTCCTGGAGCTTCCTCTATATCTGTAGCAGAATTAGGATTTTTTCAGAGCATTTTTGTTCCATAAGAGGGTTCTGAAAGAGAAGTTTGGACGTTTGTCTTAACCAGCATTACGTAAGGAATTGCAATAATTGCACTTGAGGAAATCAAACGCAAGCAGGCTGTGTGCAAATTCAGTTGTATTCAGATGAAGAGACAGGTGGGGAATGGTTTGAGGTCTGGGCTGTTTGAAGGCTGCTGTCATTATTCATGGATTGCTTGGAGGTGCAGCATAATGTATTCCACACAATTGTGCAGTTCAATTCCAGAATCAGCATTCTGTCTGTTCTCAGTCCAGGGCACACGCTCAGCCATGGAGGCCATTCCTTCAGTTTTAGTTTAATTGGCAGTGCTTAACCCTTTTGGATCATCCCTGGGACAGGTGAGAGTTCCCTGCTGGAGACTTGAGGAGCAAGGATGGGAAATGAGGAATCCTGCTGCTTACTGAGGGACTGGAGTAGTTC